TCCAACCTCTTTCCAGAAGAGTTTGGAGTTCTCCTTAAAGTTGTGCGACAACCTTTTGTCCGCTTCCATTCTACACCTTTCACGCACTTCCTCAATCAATGCTTTCGTGTGAACTTTCTGCAACCTATATCTTTCTTTCATCTTCTCTCTCATATCCTTATCATTACTAGAGGCCAAGTAGTCTAACCATGCTTTCTTCTTCTTCTTTACAGCTTCTTTCACTTCATCATTCCACCATGCATCTCTTCTTTTACTACTGCCTCTTTTTATTGTTCCACACACTTCTTCCGCTGCACTTACCATTCCATCCCTAAGGTTCTGCCATGTTCTTTCTACACATTCTTTTCTGCCATCGATGGTGTCAAGCTTTTCGTCTACCCTCGCATGATATTTGTCCCTAGTATCCGCTTCCTGAAGCTTCCAGCTTCGGATGCGACAGACCGACTGTGGTTCTGTTACTACCGTCCGGTAGCGCCAACCCGCGAACAGACCCCTAAATCTAGTAATCACTAGATAGTGATCCGTGATAGTGAACACTCGCGTATCCATCACCTGTTTTCGCAGTCGGTCATCCACCAGGAACAAATCGATCATACTTCTCTCATTCTTTCGTTCTCTAGTATACATATGGCTTTTCTTGTGATTAAACCTAGTGTTTGTCACAAGAAGACCCTTTTCCTTGCATACCTCCAGTATAAGCTTGCCAGTATCATTAACCCTTTTATCGCCAAACTTTCCAAGTACCGACTCGTACCCTAGTCCAGCGGTACCAACCCATCCATTCAAATCACCACATACAACGATTCTTTCGTTTCTCCTAGCCAAATCTAGAACTTCTCTTACATTCTCCCAAAACTCCTCCAGCTCAGCCCTGGACGACGAAGCTACCGGCGCATAAACAGCCAAAAGGAATAACTTCGTCAGTCCCAATTTAAAGCGAATCTGAGAGAAGTCTTGAGTTCACAATCTTATATTCAGTCATAACATCGACCAACCGAGACGACAGCAGCACCCCCACTCCCTTGCAAGCGTTCTCGCTCTCCGGGACTCCGGACCATAGAACTAACGCCCCGCCAGGGAGCTCTTCAGTACCACTGCCCTTCCGTTTGGTCTCCGACATACACACGACATCTAATTCTCTTTCTTTCATTATTTCGATCAACTCATTCGTCTTATCTCTCATGCCTCCTCTAACATTCTACGTGCCAACTCTGCACTCTGTCCTCCACCTTTCGCCGTGTCGGGCTGTGCGTGACGGGTGGCGGTCCCCATCGCCGCTTTGCGCGCTGCATTCCATACCAACGGGGACGAGGTGGTGTGCGTCGCCTTGGGGGGACGCCCTAACCCTCGTTGGCATGGGTGCGCAGCTGAGTAGAATTGCAGCCCTGAAAAGGGCTGGCAGGGGTCGCGACGAGCACGCACGCACGTACAATGACCCCCTATAGTTTAGTTAAAAAAAATAATGTTCTACGCTAACTTCCATCTGGTAATTTTTTAACTATACTTTTTTTATTTAAAACTTTTGATTTTGATCCTTAATTACTTGTTTAGGTTATAACATAACAGTAAATTAAAATAAGGTGAGTTAACTAATTCATTCATTTAATACACAATTGAAAAATTCAATATGTAGTACTTGATCGCGCCTCGAAACACTTGAAGATCGGTTTTTAATCGCATATTACTCGGGTCAGCTCGGGAGTCGGGACATAATGTTCTGCTCCTCTATCGCTCGGGGAATCCCCGTGTTTCATTTCGTTCGTCAACTCTTGTCACCTTGGAATTATTTTGCTTGCAGTATGAGTTACAGAATCGTTACTGTATCGTACATATCTTTCAATTTTACTGAATATTACGTTCTTATAGTATTTAAAGTATTGAGTGAGTTGGAAAAGTGTAAATTATAGTATTTGAAGTATTGAGTAAGCTGAAAAAGTGTAAAAAACTGTGTGATACTCAAAATTATCTCTAACTATTTGTGCGAAACAAAACAAGATTTACGAAATGAGTTCACGTGATGCCGGTAGAACATTTCAGTCAGGTAGTTCAAAAGGAAACGAGCTATCAAAAGAAAGCAAGTAAAAGAAAATCTACCTGGATATTTATATATTTATATAAATATATAAAAAGTGATAATCAAGAAACCTCTACAAAACATTTATTGACTGAAAGTGACTCTAATCCTGATCCAGCTGAAAACATTCCTACCACATGATCATGGGTACCGCCGCCGTTATTAAGTAAAAACAGCGAGGGTGATGATGAGTTAACTACATCATTGTCTCTTAGGTCACCGGTGCCGCCGTCAACGCTATTCAGTCAAGAATACGAATCTGAGCCCGAGTCTATGTCTACATCCATGACTGCTGGAATAGAAAATCTGAATCCTCAAAATAATCCTGGTTTGTGGCCCATAACCATTAACTGATGTAGACTAAACTGAGATTGTATTAAGAAGTCCACTCTGGGTTAAAGTTGATTTATTTCCCGTAAATTATAATGGACGGCGATTCAGCGAATATCAAATGCTGGAAATGCTTGACAGGCGCTGGATGATTTATTCACAAACAAAGGATGCCGTTTACTGCTTTCCGTGTCAAATCTTCGGGCTAGAAAATACAAAGATTGGATCAAGTGAAGGAGTGTGTGTTCTTGTTGATTGGAAACACTTGGGTGATTACCTAAAGTCTCACAAATCTAGTAGATCAGCACAAAGATTGTATGTTGAAATGGATTAATTTAGAGAATGGTTTAAAAAACTGATCCACTAGACTTCTTGGCCCAGTCACAAATTGAACAAGAAACGACAACTTTGGAGAGATATTTTAGAACGATTGCTCGCAATTGCAAATTTTTGAGCATCTCGCAATTTGGCCTACAGGGGTCATAGAGAGAAGTTGACATCTGACTAAGATTCGAGTGAGACAAGCGGCAACTCTATAGATTTAGTAAAGTTAATAGCCCGGTTTGATCCCGTGCTGAGACTTCACCTAAAAGAAGTAAACGATAAGACGATTAATGACCACTATATCAAAAAAGTATTCCAAATGAGCTCATACAATTAATGGCACGTCACGTGAACACTCAAATTGTTGAAAAAATAATATAAAATAAATATTACTCGATTATTCTTGATTGTACTCGCGACGTTTCACGTGTTGAGCAACTTTTAATTATTATAAGATTTTTTAATACAAATACAGCTGAAATTGAAGAACATTTTATTGGTTTCTTAGCCGTCGAAAAAACTACAACTGAGAGTTTGACTAATTATATAATCACGGAATTAGAACAGTTAGGTATATCATTGCAAAACTGCAGAGGCCAAGGATATGATAATGGTGCCAATTATGCGTGGTGAAAAAAGTGGCGCCCAAAAATTTATTCTTGAAATTAATCCACTTGCGTATTTTTTACCTTGTGGGATTCATAGCTGGAATCTCATCCTAAGAGATGCAGCATCGTCTTGTGTCCAAGCAAAAATCTTTTTTTGGTTTACTTGTTTGCTGTTTGCCGGCTCAAGTCAGAGGTGGGCCATTTTAAATGCTCATGTAAAGTCGTTAACGCTAAAACCACTTTCTGAAACATCGGTGAATACCAGCCGTTAAATACCAACTAAGCGATATATGTGATGCTTTAAAGGATTTAGCAGAAAATACAACAGATTGTCAGTTGGTCAGTGAATGCCAGTCTATAGAAAAGGAAATAACTACCTACGAATTTGTAGTTTCACTTGTCATATGGTATGACATTCTTACAAAGATAAATGTTATAAGTAAAATGTGGCAATGCGAAAACATGCACTTAGATGTGGCTATACAACACCTAGACGAATTCACAAATTAGCTCGATAATTATCGAGAAAATGGTTTTCAGTCATCCCTTGTAACAGCGAGAGAAATAGCCGAGGAAAATTATATTGACAGACAGTTCAAAGAAGTCAGAAGACGACGTAAAAAAGGCATTTTGATTATGAAGGGGAAGAATAAGAATAAACTATTTTTATGTCATTGTCGACAATGTGCGCGCAAGCTCCCATCCTAGCATCCTTAAAGCATATTTGGATTCATGTATAATATAAAAATATTAAAAGAAATTAGTGATAGTGAATTTTTTAAGCAATGCAGCGACTTGCAAATATCTATGACAGCAGTAGACTCATGTGATATTGATGGACATGAATTGTACGAAGAACTGAATATACGTAGACATAGCTCATTCGTTAGATTATTGTACTTTAATTCAAAATTTAATCTTAGGAAAAGCCTAATTACTTTGTTAATTTTGTAAATATTTCAATGTAAAATATTTTAAACCTCAAATTTTAGTTATTTGTATAACTTTAGTATTTCTCCTCAAACATGAGAAATACCTAAGCCAAACAACCAGACCTACTTTTGCATCATATACTTTTCACGAAGGACAAAGGGCCTCGCAAAGACCTGCCGCCCGGTGCCTCGCAATGGGTAAGGCCGCCTCTGATCCCGAGGGCGTCATAAGAGATGACAGTCAGCTATTAAACAAGAGATGAGCAGCAGAATCTTCCAAATAATAGCTCAAAATGTAAAAATCTGCGCTTGCTAACACGCCTCCAAATCGTTGCAATTGTGGCAAATGTTTCATCCTTTGAGGCAATCTAAGGGGAAGGCCTATGTTCAGAAGTTGACTTTTATACTGTAAGAGATTAATGAATAAGTCAGCTTTGATATACTGTAATGAATAAAGAAATCATTTAGCTCTGATACAATGTAATGAATTAATTAATAAGGCAGCAACTGAGGAAATTGTTATAACTACAGTTAAAATTTTATTTTTTCTATAATTTTTAAATAAAAATATAAACAGTCATTAGTATCAAATCTAATCAAATATCATATCTATTTTATATCTCTATATATCCATTTTTTTTATCAAACGTATCCATTTTTTTATTCGACGCCAGTACTGATGGGTATATTATCAACAAAATAACAACAGGCCCAATTCTAATATTTACTTTATTAATCTATTTCCGATTGTACAGAAGCACCGATAGCTGGCATTTTTTCCTTTTCATCATTATTCTCGCCGTCATTGTCATCGATATTGTCTTCATTGGCACTATCACCACTTACAGTAATATTGTTGTTAGCTTTATCTCCTTTATTTTGACTTACATCTTCAGTACTTTCAGTTACGTTTTTACTATTTACTGCAGTATCTATATTTTTTGTGTTTTTATTATTTCGATATATAACCATTTTACACATCTCTAACAGATTGCCCGCATCACGTTTTTTACATTCGTGTCCAAAAAATATGCGTAGTTTCATTTTATCCAATAGAGACAAATCTTCAGAAGGGTTTATTGAGAGACCAGATATCTGGAATAATAATTTCAGAATTTTAGAAATTTATATATAAAAAATCTATAATACTTATAAAACTAAACTCAAAAACCAAACACTCTAAAAATCATCATGCTTTGATCTGTGTTAAAAGGTGCTGCTGTCAGCACCCTACATATAGAAAAAGCATATATAATTTACTTACATATAGAAAAAGCATATAATATAATGTGTTAGCATAATATATCATCATCATCATCATTACAGCCCTTCACAAGTCCACTGCTGAACATAGGCCTCCCCAACGAATGCCACAAAGCACGGTCCTGAGCCACCTGCATCCATCGACTTCCTGCATGTGTTACCAGGTCGTCACTCCATCTAGTGGGGGGTTGGCCTACACTTCGCCTACAGGTACGAGGCTGCCACTCGAGAGCCTTTCTTCTCCATCGGTAGTCGGTTCTTCCAGCTATATGGCCGGCCCATTGCCATTTCAGCTTACTAATCCGTTGGGATATGTCGGTTACTCTGGTTCTACTACGGATGTCCTCATTTCTAAGTTTATCATGCAGAGAAACTCCGAGCATAGCCCTCTCCATAGCTCGCTGAGCGACTTTGAGCGTCCTCATACGGCCAGCAGAGAAGGACCACGTCTCAGTTCCATAAGTCATCACTGGCAACACGCACTGGTTGTACAATCTCGTTTTCAGGTTTTGAGGTATAGCGGACTAAATAAATCATAATATTAGTGAAACAAGTAGGACGTACATTGTGTGTTTATCCATTCACTTATAATACAATAATTTATTCCAAATATGGAATAAATCAATACTAAGTAAAATAAGCACATGTGTCAATCCAAATCACAAATAGAAAGTTTCACATTTTATCATGATCATTACAACCGGTTAAAATGTCGTTGCAAATATAGACTACCCTGACAAACTACCCACAAAGCTCGATCCCGAGCTACTTGCTACCATTAACTTCCTGTATGAATCAATAGACTAAATTCATAAAGCAATTCATAATGAAAAATTAAAATAAAATAGTGGAATCTCAAAGAAGAATTTAAAAACATTACTTTTGAATAGTTAAAAGGAAAGGCCTTAAAACATACCAAGGGAACAATAGTGGCGTGGCCATTTACGCTATAAGCTCTATCGTGAAAGTGCATCACACTCATTGGATCATACTCCACGGTGTATAATGGCAACATCTTATACGTTTGAATGCGGAAAAGATGATGATAAGCTGAAATTTAAACAGAAGCTTCTTTGAAGTTATTTTTACTATACTAGAATTATTTTGTGCGTGCAGTTTGGGTCATAAGCCATCGGAGTACTTCGCTCTCTCTCCCACTCACGGGCCTTAGGGGCGAGCATAGTGATTCGCATTATTGTTGTCGATAAGCGTTAGCGATAGTGTATTTTTGTTATTAATGACATAAATGTGGATTAGTGATTAAAATATAACAAAAAAAACAACATATTTATTAATATAAGAATAATAATGATTAAAAATAAATTATTAATTAGGTATCTATGTATTAAAAAACTATAAGTACAAATGTTTGGAATTTAACAAGTTATATTAAAAATGAATATAAATATAAATATAAAGATAATAACTTATATCAAAAATGAAATTTGTTGTTATCGATATGGCCTCACCGCCCTAGCCGGGCTGAGGCCGAGCTATGATTTATGACCCCAACTGCATGGAGAAAATAATTTTACTATAAAAATCCCGTCCAAAAACGTCCCGAGTTGCTCTTATTAAAGATAATATTAGTATATATTATATTCTTTGTATATCTATATATTATTTGCGCATACATACGAGTATGAAATCATTATTCTTTGTATAATTCCGGCTTTGCTTTATTCAACGTCGTCAATGTTTACATTCTATATATTATACTAACGGTCTCATTTTCCATCTTCTTTATTAGTTATTGTCCTATAGTAGGAAAGAGGATGTGCCATAATCGCCACGCTTACCAGGCAGCTTGGTGCAAAATTTTGTCGCCGGTATGCGTATTTTACACCTGATATTAATATGAAATGCTTACATATTATATCGCGTTTTATTAGAGGTAGCAAGATCTGGGCATATTCATAAGTCGACTGTTACGAACTTTAAAATTATTTATTTTTGTTATGACTTTCAAGCTGTTTTTACCCGGCTGAATATTATTCCATACGATCCGAATATACTGATCTCGCCGTGGATGCGTCACCTCATCTTTGAATCCAATGCCATGCATGAGCGTATGTAATATTTGTCGCTCCGTAAGACAATCTAGACCAAGCACTAATATCTGAGGAAAACAAATTTGAACACAACAAAATTAAAAATATTCGGAAATCTCAAAATATATATCGATATTAAATATATATAAAAACAAATAACATGACCAAAATATATTTAGGAACGTATACTTCAATAAGTTTTGATTTGAAACAGTATTGATTGTGACATTTTTTTATGCATAAATCATATTATAGAGAATATAAATTCAATTTTCACAAAATGAACAAAAATTCATGTCCTATATGTTATCTGCATGTTACCTGCATGGTAATAATTGCGGAAGGTAATAAATTCAGTTTGGAAGTCATCCAGTAGTATGTATAAAAAATAATATAATATAATTAAAATAATATATCTATACAAATAAACAAAATTGAAGTGTCTGTTTGTAATGTCAAAGCCCTATTTAGACTAAACTAAATACTTTTAAGGTGCCAAACTACTTCATTATCAGCTCCTTTCCTCCTACTGCGGAGCATAATAAAGAAACTTACTACTAAGTATTATGTGTAATTAAGCAGATGATACTTCCTAAAAATATTATGTGAAAGTTTGTTTGTTTGTTACGGTTTTTCACGTAAAACCTACAGAATGGATATGAATAAAATTTTACTATTAAAATTCATCCTCTAGCATACGGATAGAGCTCAACCTGGGTAAGACATAGGGTCAACAAGGCCTACTTGGACATGAAAGGAATGCTTCGGTGGATTGGTCATGTAGAAAGAATTTAGCAGAAAATTATTAAGATAATAAAATTCGGATGAGTCTTAATACTGGTGCAAATCGGATACGCATTCAATACATCAGCATCACGTGGACGTTATGAAACTAAATAAATGATAATGATATTTTACAGACTTACGCATCCGAATTCCACGAGCTGAGAATAAAACATTTTCTTACCACTTCCCCATTATCGTTGTATCGCGGTTCGTGCATACACTCTCGTTCTACCAGCGGGTTAGTGATGTGCAACCAAGTTATGTTTAGGTTCGGTTTGTTGAAAATTGGTTTAAATCTGATACAGGAAACACTCTCTAGTTCTTTCATAATCATGTAAACACGCCTGGTTATTATAAGATCTACAAACATAATTAACGTTACATGTAAACAACATTTACAATAAACATTAAACTTTATCATCATAGTGCGCAGGATCTAAAATATGTTAAATAACTCTGTCCGAGTTGTAAGGGTGCTTTTATAGTGCTTGGCGGGCGCGGTCACGAAATATGAAACAGCATTATATGCAAGTGTTCACGTACAAAACGCAAGTGCGATGGAAGTGGAGGGAAAGCTGGCGACTATCGCTCGATGCGCGCTCGCGGCAATATCAAACGTATGAAGATGTTTGTGTTCACGTCGAACTAGCGGCGGAGCGCGGGATTGACTCGCGGCTTCAGGTAAGATCAACAATTTTGAACTTGCTACTCAACCCAATGGACTCGTCACGCATGATTATTCCCCTCTGCCAGTTCTTTCTTTATTAATTTCGTGCACACTAATTCTACTTTTTTTCATCTTCCACTTTAGGTAAGAATTTTCGATTAAAATAAAATTTCCTCCGCCTGCGTATTCTACGTGAACAAGCACTTAGGTATCATGATATATGTAATTCTGTTCATGTAATCCTTTTTAAAGAATAATTTAAAAAATAACCCACAATATAACATATAATTTAATTAAATGGGAAAAATTAATTGATGGCATTACATGCGCCACGGGCGGCGACATTAATTAGAGGTCACATTTAGAAGACTTTGACCTCTGACCCTATGCTTCGCATTTCGTTTTATCATTAATTCGTTAGAAACAATGATTTAAAATGAAGTCGGTAAATAACACACACTGCATAATTGTAGTCACGTCGGATGCTATTACAAATCAAAATGCAGATGCGTTGTCACCCGTGAGGACTAAGATGGAATGCCTCTTTTCCAGTAAAAAGGGTCTCCGGTTCTCTACACTCACCATACGAAACACAGCAGCGTTAAGCTGCTATTTTACGCTGGTATTCTGTGAGAGCGTGGTCCTTCCCCGATCGAGCCGAACCATTCGTGCTACAACTATACTACTAATATAGCTGCAGCGTGGCTCTACCAAGTAAAGCTTGACTCTACCACGTAAAAAAAGTTCAGTTCTTTCTATATTATATTTTAATTTATTTATTATTAATGATTATATCATTATAATTTACGCGTCTTTAGGGTGGCCCAGGGGCCACCCCAGCCACACCTTAACCTACTGTCACTGATATTGCGAGATTGGTGTCATATTTTATTAGACGCTAATAGCCTAATCATACGAGTAAGTATCAGAGTATACAACATGTAACAAAAACCTGTGGTTCCCGTTAAGTGCGTAATCTGAACCAGTATTCAAACTTAATTAAACATTGAGTTATTATGTACTACGTACTAGAGGCGACACTGCACTAAGTTACGCTGTTCCATTCAACTACGGCAATGTCACCGCACTTTAATCAGTCGCTCGCTAGGCGCTTGTAAAGTTGTCACGTGTTGTGTTGATTTAAAAAAAATATCTTGATAAAATATGCCGGGGTGTGTTCTTAGATATTGCACAAAAATTCACGAAATGTTAGTAAAAACCAAGGAATTACTTTTCATCGGTAAGTAAGATACTTAAATAATAAAAAACATTATAGATTAATAATTAAAAAGTTATTTGCTTGGCGCCAACTTGTGTCATGAAATATATATTATGAAATTAATTTGTTCAGATACGACATTTCTGTGAGCAAGTGTAGGACGAATATATGTATATATATGTGTGTATATATATATACCTATATATACAAAATAATCGTAGAGAAGAGATGTGGTTACCAACAAATCATACATATTTTTGTTCCTTGCATTTTAAGGAAGAGCATAAATATAGTACGAAGAAGGTAAAAATTAACAAAACTTATATTGTTTAAAGGCACTTAATTAAATTCCTAATACATATTTTTACATTAAGATTTATACATTTTATTAATTGAAATTTAATTTTCAGCAAAAAACAACAAATAAGTGTATATACGTATAATTCATGAGTAAACAGAAATGGTAGAAGTTTTACTATGTTTTCTCACAGTAATTCATAAGGCATAATATAAAAAGTATCAGCTCTGTGTCCATGCCTCACACGAACTTAGGTTAGGGCTTTTGGAGACCTAGTTATAGATTTAAATAAATATATTTCATTAGCTTCGATTCCTTCCAATTTATATAGTTATCTTATAAAATATTTATATGAAAATGTAATTAAAATGCTATTGTGATAATATTATATATTATCATATTATTTTTATCTTATATCATGCAAAATAAATGACAAATTATTAAAAATATATGTACTCTAAGTAAACAATAATTAAATACCTACTGATCATTCTACCTACGCATAATCTATTATGATAAAAAACCGCGCATGCGCGGGAAGACTGTTTATGGTTAAGTTTTCTGGAAAAAAAAATGTTTCTCTACGTTTGAATACTAGTTTCGATAAGGCACTTCACTAAAACCACAGAGTTTTGTTACATATTGTATAAAACCTATATATACCAGTCAAAAGTAGTTTTGACCAACATCCTTAGTCAAAACTACTTTGCCTGATTTTTGCATTCGAAAGTGGTTTTGGATGGTTATGAGTTTTGACTGTAACATATATATTTTAAATAAATATAACATTTTAATTTATCAATATAACGCTTTAATTTATTGGTAATGCATTGCGGTATCCTTTGTCCCTTTTGGATCGGACAGGGTGCTTTTTAGATTTTGTTATCAAATTCATCTTATCGCTTAAGCAATTAAAGTCTGTTCGCTTAGATACAGTCAACTTTGTGTCGTGCCGCCGTGGCACGTGCCGCATCTTATCAAAGGCACCGCCGCG